AAGAGTTGGAGTTGATTGAGCAGTTCAGAGATATGAGCTTAGTTTGCAAGGTTACTCCGCATAGTGTTATGTTGGGTATGTTGAAGATTAATAATGAATTTCTAGACAGTATCAGAGAAGCTCAGAAGTTGGATGTGAAACTGGTAGATTCGATGGTTAGAATCGATCAGTCTGAGAATAGTGGTTTTAAGTTAGATGTGCAAGGTGTGTTGAGGTTTCGTAATCGGATTTGTATTCCTGATGATGCTGGGATGAGGAAGGTGATTCTGGAAGACTCTGAGGGGAAAGGAGATTGTTTTGGTTAAAGTGGTTTGGCTAGGAGCTGTCGGAGAAAGCATGACTTGGGAGTTGGAGAGCAAGATGCGAGACTCCTACCCTGAGTTGTTTGACTAAGGTAAATTTTCGAGGACGGAAATATTCTAAGTGGGGGAGAGTTGTAACACCCGTAATTTAATTAATTATTTAATTAAATTATTTTTGGAATATTTGAGAAGATGTGTTGTGATTAATTGGATTTATATATTTTATTAAGTGGAGAAATAATATTAGAAGTATAATATTATTTGATGTGGGCTTGTTTTAAAGAATAGAAGTAATAAGGGGGTGTATTAGTTTTAAGCCCAATTAGAAATTAAGAGAATAATAGGTTATTTTATTGTTGTTAGAAAGAATAGAAAGAGGAGGCAGTAGAAGAATAAGGATTGAGAAGAAGAACGTGAAGCTGCTGGAAAAAGAGGAAAATGGCAAAACGAGGTTTTGACCGGAAGATTATAGAGTGGCCTTCAATCCAAGGTAAGGGTGGGGTTCTGACTCTATAATAGGGTTCATGATGATTGGTATGTGGGGTTAGAGGTAATTGTTGTCTTGTTCTTGAATTGAATGTATGTGATGTTGTATGATGAAATTGATAAATTTTAGATGAATAATGATGTCTTGATCTTGTTTAATTGATGTAGAATTATAGGATAACTGTAAGTAATGATTATCTATGATTAGATTAAGTTTTTAGGGCTTAAAATTTGAAACCCGTAGTGAAAACGCAAAGAAATCGCAGAATTTATGCAGGATGTAACAGGATGCGTCGACCCCAAATGTTATGTATCGATACAAGAAGGTTGAAATACTCAGGATGAGTCGACACGAAGAGGTTTTGCATCGATACATGAGTTCTTTTAGACTCAGGATGAGTCGATCCATAGGATCATGTGTCGATACATGCTGTTTGTAAGACTCAGGATGAGTCAATCCAAGAGAGGATGCGTCGACTCATGTTGCACGTTTGGTGTAGTACGCGTCGATCCAGGACGTTTTGCATCGACCCATGTTGTCTGGTTTTTGGCAGAATCGTTTAGAAAATGTTGTAACTTGAGTTTTAGGATGCCGTTTGAGATACCGTTCGAAGCGTTGAATAGCTAACGCGATGAACTTTATTCTAGAGGATTAAAATGAGGAATAGGAAGTGTAATCCTAGTAGCCAATTTAAGATTTAGAGTTAGTTCCCGTGTTGATCGTTATGTTGGTTTTTATGCAGAATGATGAGGACGAAATGTTTATAGGCTGTTGTTTGATTTATAACAGTAGGAGTAATGATAGTAATGATGTAAGATTATAAAATAGCGGTGTGAATTACTTAAGTATTAATGTACAACTTAGTTGTTGATGAGATTTTATTAATGACGTTGTGATGATAATTTATGGTGAATAAATGATGTTTGATGAATGAATGATGTTTGATGAATTATTATGAATGATATGAGATGTTTGATAAAGAGATGTTGAGATGCTTTTGAGATGTAGGCCTTTGGCCAATGATGATGTTGTATTGAGATGTTGTTAATTGTGGTGTTGTTATTACATTCATGATTGTGTCGCATACATTGCATTTTGAGATGGAGCTTATGCTCGTTGAGATGGCTTGTATTGGCGAATATTTAGATGTAGGCTTATGCCTTGTTGATGCCTCTATCAATTGGAAAATTTTTGAGATGGGAGTTCTGCTCCAAATGGTACCACATGCATTTGCATAGTATTGAGTTGCATTATATGATTGTATAAAGAAGTGTGTATTGATTTGGTGATTGTGTATTATTGTCGTGATTTATTGTTGAGTATGAGATGAAAAGTGGTGATGTTATGTGATCTAATTTAATATATTAATTATCATGCGCTTTATTATATTGTTAGATATCTCACCCCTTATGTTTGAATGTTGCCCTTATGTTGGTAACGTGCAGGTAATCGAGAGTGAAGGTTGTATACCTTCAATAGTTGAGTCGGTGGCATTGCTCTTATATGTAACACTCAGGGGGATGAACGCTTGTTCCTTTTGATTGTTGATTATTCAGTTGTTTAACTTTAAGTTAATTATTATTAAATTGCGTTGTTTTGAAGTTGTTGTAATGATGATAAAGATGTTATTAAGAATTCTGTTGCATAGATGTTGAATTATTTAATCAAAGATGTTATGATGATGATTCATATAATGTTTTAAAGGTGTTATATATCCACATGAATGTAATGAATTTTGATAGAAGAATTTGTGGCATCCCGATTCGTTTGCATAATATGATTTTATAACTCTGATTTATTTATATAATTGTCGGGGTAGAATTAGGGTGTTACAAAGTTGGTATCAGAGCAAAAGGTTGGTCCGACCTTGTCGTCGAGTCGTAGTTATGTAACAATCGAGTATTGTTAATTTGAGTTCTAACTGTTGTTTATGTTGTAGTGAGAAGTTGAGATGGCTGGAAGGAATGATGTTGCACTTGTTGCTGCTTTAGAAGCAATCGCTTATGTGATGGAAAATCAGCCGAGTGCTGATGGGAATGTTGGATCTCGTAGCTTGGCGACTTTCTAGAGAGAGAATCCGCCTACGTTCAAGGGAAAGTATGATCCTGACGGAGCATTGGACTGGTTGAAAGAGATTGAGAGAATCTTCCGTGTGATGGATTGCACTCCAGCGCAGAAGGTTCGATATGGTACTCATATGCTAGCAGTCGAGGCTGATGACTGGTGGCTAGAGACTTGTCAGAAGTTAGAAGTTGCAGGTGAGAATGTCACTTGGGCTGTGTTCTGTAGAGAGTTTTTGAAGAAGTAATTTCCTGAAGATGTCCGTGGTAAGAAGGAAACTCAATTCCTTGAGTTGAAGCAAGGGAATATGTCAGTTGTTGAGTATGCTGCCAAGTTTTCTGATTTGGCTAAGTTTTATCCATATTACGCTGATGTAGATGCCGAGTTTTCGAAGTGTATCAAGTTTGAGAACGGGTTGCGCCCGGAGATCAAGAAGGCAGTTGGATACTAGAAGATCCGTGTCTTTTCTGATATGGTTGATAGTTGCATGATTTATGAGGAGGATAATAATGTTCATTACAAGATTATCAGTGAGAAGAGGGGTAAGCACCAACAGAATCGTGGTAAGCCTTATTATTCCCTAGCTGGTAAAGGTAAACATAAAGTTGCTCAAAGTCAGAAGACTAGTGGGGGAGATGCTCCTGCTGGTGTGGTTTTCTTTAAGTGTGGAAAACCTGGGCACAAGAGTAATGTGTGTACTACTTGTAGCGATAAAAAATGTAGCGGGGTAAATCGGAGATCGAATTATTGATTAATTCGTCTCACAAAAGCAAGAGTCGCCACCGCGCTTTATTTTTTCCAAAGGAAAAGGGAAAAGAGCGAAATAAAACCCTAAATATGCAATGTAAATAAAAATACAAATACAAAGCGTTTTTGAAAAGAGATCGAGAGTTCGGGGGTTGGTTATACAATGGGAAGGTATTAGCACCCAATGCATCTATAGTACTCTATAGGAACCTTTTGAAATATCTGTTTTATTTAAAATTGATCGCTTGATTGAAAATAAATCGTTTTGGCCGAAAAAGGGATACGAACGGGTTTTTGAAAATACGACGACCTAATGTCGAAGTTTTGGCTTAAAAGGTATAAGTCTTGAAAAGGTTGAAATTTTGAAGAAAGGTGAATATTTGAGGAAAATTAACCTAAGTTTTTTAATGAATGAGAGTATTCGCTCGATCGTTTTTGAGGACATGAAGTCAACAAAAATTAGACAATTCCCTTTGGATTGACGCAAACAGAATAATCAAGTAAATGCGAAATATTTAAATAGAAAATTATGAGATAAATGATATACAACGAATTAAATAAAAGACTGAGTGTGTGAACATGCATTTTTTATATTTTTGTTTAATATATGAAGAGAAAAATGTTTTAATTGGTTACGCATTTTAACATAGATAAAAAAATAACGAAAATTAATAGAAATGTTTTTTAAGGTTTTTATATATTTCTATTTTTTATGTCTTTTTGTATATTGGTATTTAATCAAAATGAGGGGAGTAAATTAAAGAGAAATAACATGTTTTTTTAGTTTTCTCATTTCATATGTTTTTAGAGCTATTAAGTATTTTTTTCAAATTAAATAAAACTTACAAGCCATGAATTTAAATTGAATTAGAAATAAGTAAGACTAAAATTATTAAATAAACATAAATTTAAACTAAATAAGATTTGAGTAAAATATTAAAAATTATCTATTTAAAATTATATGTTTATTTCTAGGAAAACTAATTAGTTTAAATTAAATAAGTTAAGAAAAAGAATAGAATTAAACTAAGAATAAATAAAAGATGGGATATGAAGAGCAATTAGAAATGGGCTTAAGTAAAACAAGAAATGAGCTGGGTTGAGGGGAAATGGAGCGGGTCGTTGGAAGACCCGGACCCAAGGAAAAAACGCAGAGCTGTAACGAAAACCTAGGAAACATTGTGCGCCGCCGCCACTGGTGACGGCGTCCTGGAGGTCGGTGCCGGCTCGCTTCAGTTCCTCACGCAACACAGTGGCTCAACAATTGCTAACGAATCGCAGTACGGCACAGGTTAGAGGAGCGTTTCTTTTTGAAAAGAAAGTAATTTTTGTTGATAAGAGGTATTCTGGAACATGAGAAATAGGTCGAATCTTCGTCGATTTGTATAATGCTAACAATCTATTTACCGGCATGTTGTTGCAGGATAAGGATTGTGGGTCGGAGGAGGAGATGCGGTTCGAGAGAGAGAGCGATTGGAGGATGTTGGGGAAGAATCTGCAGCCAAGGATTGTGCTTTGAGTTTCAAAAGCAACTGATTTTGGCGTGCTAGTTGAACTCGCGATTGACGATTCTCGTTTTGTATCCCAAGTATCAGCTTTGCCTGGTCTTTTTCTGTTTTAGGTACCGGTAATAGATCCTCGTTTGCATCAGGTGCCTTTGTTCGAATCTCCTTTGCTCTATCAGCCCAATGAAGAGTGTTTTGAGTTTCACCAAATGAGAGGATACTCGGGCTTATGTTTGCAATCATGACGGTGTTGCAAGTTCCTCCTAATGAATCTTTGAGAAACTGGGTTAGTTTAGAATTTCGGTATGGAATGTGCTTCTTGCCCTCTACAAGAGCATTGATACAGCTGCTTAGTGCAAGAAGAGACCGGTTAATGTTCTTTGATCTGTGGCAAGAGCTCTCTCTGACCCTGCGAGATCAATCAATGAAAGTTTGCCCACTCTGTGAATAATATTCAATGCAGCATCTCTAACTCGGTATTCAACCACGACCTGCAAAACAGCATGAGAACGTGAAGATGTTTCATTTGCACGAGTTGGTTCCGTAGTTCTATTACGATTTCTCTGCTGAAGCAATGCCATCACTTCATCGGTGGAGTAAGCTCTGTATTGCGTAAGACCTGCTGCCACAATCCCCTGCTTATCTTCTCTCAAAACAAGAGGCCTTCCAGGTGAAATCAAATCTCTTACAGTTTCATTATAAACCTCAAGATAGGACAGATGAACTACATGGTTTCCATCATAGCTTCTGATCCTGATTTTACTGAAGAGATCCTTAATTGCCAACACCATCACTCTCGGGTTTTCCATAGTACCAAGCATTGTGTATGTTGTTCCAGCTCCAGTGGCATCATAACAAGAAACTGTCCCATCCTTCCCTTGCATAACTGCTTCCACAAGTTCCGAGGTTGATGTAGAATACACTTCCTGTTGAGCAGCCGAATCAGAAAAGCATGCATCAAAAGTGAAATGACCTCCTCGAATCCTCTTCAACCTCAAGTAATCGTTAGGAGTAGTGAATTCCGTCATATAAATATGAGAAGAATCCACAATCTTGACACAACACCTGGAACCCGCTTCCTTTTCCTCTTCAAATTTCAGATTTTTGAATGGTATGTTTTTGTGAAATAAAGGGTTTTGTTTTTGATTTAAATCTGTAATAATGTTGAAGGTTAAATGGGTGATTACAGAAGGAGATAATGACGATGATTCGGCATAGATATGAGGGAGATAGTGATGTTAGAATGGTTTACGTTGGATTCGCAGAAAAAGTGGTCGTTCACAATGATGCAAACGCGAAGATGTTGTTGAAGAAGAGTTTTAACATGGTGGTTATGGAAACAGAGGTTAAAGGTATGTTATGATCCTCCTGTATATATTTTCTAGTATGAGTGGTCCTCTTAATCTTCTTTTTTATGAAAAACTCTGTGTCTGAATTGTTTCCACTGTTGCGCGTGTGTTGATTGAAGTAGAGGAGCAACTCGATGAAAATGTGGTGATGCTGTGATGAAGACGATAGAAATGTGATGAAAGTATCGGAAGGAGGATATCGTCGTTAGATCGATGAAATCAAAGGTAAATCAGTCATACTTGTTTTGTGGGTTTTGCCATTTTGATTGAATTAACGAGAAATTGATTAAAGAGAAGAAGCAGATTTGTGAACTTGTTTATTATTTCAAATTGGCTTTAAATGTAACAGTGTTTATATGATTGCGTTGGTCTTGCGACATTATTGAATTTTTGAAATTTATCAATCGAGCTATTGTCGGTGTTAAATAGGGATTAATGTATTGATGATTCGCAATGATATTAAATGGCCACTTTACATGATTTCAGGAAATTAAAGGGTATTATTAAGTGAGACAAAGGCAACGCAACGGTATAAAGGTTTATGCGAAAAACTGAAAAAAAACTCACATGGTCGGAGCTAGTCCGACGGTACGATTCCGGCGAAGTCAGGTAAGCTCCGAAGACTCCTCGCTCCTTGCTTTCTGCCACTAATTCTTCTCTTCTTCTCCGTCTAAAAAACTGGTTGGAAATATTGAATAAATGGTTTTTTGGATGGATTTGGATTATACTGTTTTTTATGGTTTTGGTACAGTATGCAGGTTATGGTTTTGCAATATGCTTGTTGTGGTTTTGCAAATGGACCATGTTTTTATAGTTTAGATGCAGTGATGGTTAGGTAGAGATATGCTATATCTTTGAATAGTTTTTGCAGTGATGTTCTGGTGTGGAAATGGAATATGTTATTTACTGGATAGTTTTGCAGTGATGTTTTGCAAAAGGGACTATGGTATATAGCAGTATGCAGGTTATGTTTTGCAAAAATGAACTATGGTATCTCCGCCTGGTAGTCTTGTATATCCCTCCTTTATGCAGGCTATGACTTATCCTTTTTGAAGGAGTTCCCTTCTCATATGACCGTTGGTATCTTTTATGGCTCAGGTTTGAGTATCTTAATATATTTTCTGATGCTTGCACCTATGCTGCTACAAGTGATTTTGACTTTATTCCCATTTCATGCTTAAATCAGAACCTGCAAAACTGAACCTCTTCTCTCTTCTCTCTCAAGTACATAAATGATACATAAAAATGATATCTTGTACTGCTGTCTGAAAAAGCAAACAGGCTGGAATATGATGAAAAAAGAAACATATTGCTTGCATTCATAGTTTTAAGACTGCACATTGTTTGAAATTGCATATCTCTTTTGTCTTGCATTAGCCTATGTTATTCTGCAGGTTAACGTTAGCTTGTGTTGTGCATATGTTTGTTTGAAATTATGTATGTTGTTGATTTATGCTTATGCAGTTTTGACCAAAGTTGAATTTATGCATATGTGAAATATGCAGTGGGCCTTTTGATAAAAATGCAAATGATTTTGAAAATGTGCTATTTTTTAATTGTGCATTCATTTAAAAATTCCTCTCTTTTTTGTGAACCGGGAGAAATCCCGTGATTTGCAAAAAAGAGTAACTGATTCCGGCCATTGTTTTTAATGATGAACATTAAATTTATTTTCTGCATTTTAATTATTTATTCAATTCTGACTTTTCTTTTAATCGTTTTCGCAGGTAAAATTAAATGAGCAAACAAGAGCATTGGATGGAAGATTTAGAATTAGAATTTAGAAAAATAGCTTTTTATTTACTTTAAGCATTTATGTAATTGTCTTTATAAATATTTTGTAATAACACAACATTTAAATGACAATTGTAATAAATAGAATAAAGTGAATAAAAATTCTATTATTTCTCAATTAATTCTTTTTCCTTTCAATTATTTATTTATTGTTTATAATTCTTTAAATTATATAATGACTGAAAAATCAAATCCAATCATTTAAATTTAAAATGATAAACAAATAAATAAACATCATTGATCAATTAATAACTTCAATTATTTATTTTATTATTATTTTTAATTCTTCTAAATTATAATAACTTGAAAAAATAGAATTTCAGCTATTTAAATTTAGAACAATAAATAATTAAATAAACATTGCTTGATCAATTAATATACTCATTTTCAAATGTTTATTTCATTATTCATAAACCTTCAAATTATATAATAACGGAAAACAGGTTCCCATTATTTAAATTTAGGATAATGAATAATTAATAAACATTATTTGATCAATTAATAAACCTTTTCTCAAATAATCTTTTTATTATTTATAAATCTTTAAATTACGTAATAATCGAAAATAAATTCCAATTATTTGAATTTAAGATAATAAATAATTAATGAACATTGTTTAAGTCTTGATCAGTTAATAAATTTAGCGTTCAACAAATAAACAGCTTCCGACTCGAAAAAGTTATGAATTTTTAAACTGCTTTGAAAATTTGATAAAATATGTGAAAACCCTTGCAATGCGAGTAATGCAGATGGGAGACGGTATCTTAGGTCAAAATTTGGGGTACAACAGCTGCCCCTATTTAAGTTCCTTCTATCCGGAGATATGAAGATTAAAGTCTTCGTCTCGACGAGATTGAAGGTACTTAAATACATAATTACGCAAATTTTGTCCTAAGATGCTGTCATCATGCAGTGATATGAATGTAGTGCTTGAATTCACAGAGAAAGATATTGTATGAAACAAGACAAATGTTGGAGGAATCGAACACCAACAAAACACAGATACATGAATTACACGCTACTGGGGAAAACGAGCTAACGACTTCGAACGACAGACTCCTGACAGCGAATAAAATCGAGGGAATACAAACCTCTACCCTAACAAAGAGAGCATCTTACATAGGCCGTAACAGATTATTGATCCCAAAACAGTGAGTTCACAACTCAAGGTCGACGGTAGACAGAGAGTATCAAATTGCTGATAACTGGTTACCGACTTCTGGAGGTACAGATTCGTAACAGACTTCTTTGCTAGATTTTCAGAGGTATACTCATTAATGCTGAGGTAATGAGACTGTAGATACGAAGGTTGTTCAAATAAAGAAAACTGCCATTTGTTGTCGTCCAGAGAAAATACCGATAACATACAAGTTGCTCAAATAAAGAGGCTGCCACTTGTTGTTTTTCCAAAGAGAATACCGATAACATACAAGCTGCTCAAATAAAGAGGCTACCACTTGCTGTTTTCCAGAAAAGTAATAACGTACTGGTAACTCATGAAGAGTTTGCTGCTTGTCGCTTTCAAAAAAAGAAAAATGACGCACTAGTAGCTCATGAAGAATTACTGCTCGGCGCTTTCGAAAAGAAGTAAATAACGCACTAGTAGCTCATGAAGAACTGCTGCTCGGCGCTTTCAACAAGATAAAATGACGCACTAGTAGCTCATGAAGAACTGCTGCTCGGCGTTTTCAGAAAAATAAAATGACGCACTAGTAGCTCATGAAGAACTGCTGCTCGGCGCTTTCGACAAGAATAAATGACGCACTAGTAGCTCATGAAGAACTGCTGCTCGGCGTTTTCAGAAAAATAAAATGACGCACTAGTAGCTCATGAAGAACTGCCGCTCGGCGCTTTCAACAAGAAGTAAATAACGCACTAGTAGCTCATGAAGAACTGCTGCTCGGCGCTTTCAACAAGATAAAATGACGCACTAGTAGCTCATGAAGAACTGTTGCTCGGCGCTTTCGACAAGTAAACGTACAAGTTGCTCATGAAGAGCTTTCGCTTGTCGTTTTCCAAAATAATTCAGAAGGAAACTGCGATGATATTGGCAGAGAATAAAATCTTCATCAAAGAGAACCCTGAATCAATCCTTCCCGAGGAGATCAAATACTTAAATATGCAAAATAAATGCACCAGTCGTCTTGGTCGCAAACTCACTGGGGAAAATCAAAGAGCATAGCCTATGCAAGAGGCAGCAACTTCATCCAGGAATAACCAGAGAGAAAACAGTCAAACAAGACTCCTCCCAATGAGAAAGTAAATCGATTGGGGAAATTATCCTATCCAGAAATGGACAAGGTAAGCTAAATCAAAAATCATCCACGAGGATTAGCTCAGTTGGGGAATTAGAAAGGAGGCACATTTTATGCTTAAGTTGACACTCTATTTGGAAAGATCAAATGTGCTATTTGAAAAGACACAACCAAGGTGTACGAACTCAATGACATAAACAAATACAATTGTGCGTGCATGATGCAAGTGTAAATGAACAAGTGAATGTCATGTATATGCTGACAAAAACGATAGGGGAGATGGACAGAAGATGATAAGACATCACAGTACAACCCGGCGCTCGGCTAATCTCAAAAGGAGGGGAACATCACTGGAGATAGAAGATAAAAGCTATCAAAGGAGCAAAGTCATCCTACAAAGCTCAAATCTCTTGGAGAGAAAGATATTAGGTAGAAAACCCAAAGTCCAGTCTTCTACTGCTGACAACCCATTGAAAGGATAACAACACGAACAAAGCTTCAGCTGGAAAAAGTCATTCTTAGCTGGAGATAACGGGAACACCACCCTCTGATAAAGTGTGTGATACATAACACACATCCTGACAAGTCTAGATTGCCCCTGGGTCCAATATTGGATGCCCCAAATTTACT